TGAAATAAAAAATAAAATAAATAAAATAAAAATAAATAGTTTAAAAATAAAAAATTAAAACTAAAAATGAAATAAAAAATAAAATTAAAAAATAAAATTAATGCTTTAAAAATAAAAAAATTAAAAATAAAAATTAAATAAAAAATAAAATTAAAAAATAAAATAAAAAGCTTTAAAAATAGAAAAATCAAAACTAAAAATTAAATAAAAATTAATTAATAAAATAAATGCTTTAAAAATAAAAAAATCAAAACTAAAAATTAAGATAAAAATAAAATTAAAAAAAAAAAATGCTTTAAAAATAAAAAAATCAAAACTAAAAATTAAAAAAAATAAAATAAATGCTTTAAAAATAGATAAAGCAAAAATGAAAATGAAATAAAAAATAAAATTAAAAAAATAAAATAAATATTTTGTAAGTAAAAATTGAAAACTAAAAATTAAATAAAAAATAAATTTAAAAAATTAAATAAATGCTTTAAAAATGGAAAAATTAAAAATTAAAATTAAATAAAAAATAAAATTAAAAAATAAAATAAAAAGCTTTAAAAATAGATAAATCAAAAAAAATTAAATAGAAAATAAAAAAATAAATGCTTTAAAAATAAAAAAATCAAAACAAAAATTAAGATAAAAAAATAAAATAAATGCTTTAAAAATAGAAAAATCAAAACTAAAAATTAAATAAAAATTAATTAATAAAATAAATGCTTTAAAAATAAAAAAATCAAAACTAAAAATTAAGATAAAAATAAAATTTAAAAAAAAATAAATGCTTTAAAAATAAAAAAATCAAAACTAAAAATTAAAAAAAATAAAATAAATGCTTTAAAAATAGATAAAGCAAAAATGAAAATGAAATAAAAAATAAAATTAAAAAAATAAAATAAATATTTTGTAAGTAAAAATTGAAAACTAAAAATTAAATAAAAAATAAATTTAAAAAATTAAATAAATGCTTTAAAAATGGAAAAATTAAAAATTAAAATTAAATAAAAAATAAAATTAAAAAATAAAATAAAAAGCTTTAAAAATAGATAAATCAAAAAAAATTAAATAGAAAATAAAAAAATAAATGCTTTAAAAATAAAAAAATCAAAACAAAAATTAAGATAAAAAAAATAAAATAAATGCTTTAAAAATAGAAAAATTAAAACTAAAAATTAAATAAAAAAGAAAATTTAAAAAATAAAATAAATGCTTTAAAAATAGAAAAATTAAAACTAAAAATTAAATAAAAAAGAAAACTAAAACAAAAAAATAAAAAGCTTGAAAAATAGAAAAATTAAAACTAAAAATAAAAGATAAAAATAAAATAAAAAGCTTGAAAAATAGAAAAATAAAAACTAAAAATAAAAGATAAAAATTAAATTAAAAAAAAATTAAAAATTAATAAAAAACAAAATAAAATCCATAAAATGCTGTAAAGTACTGTAAAAGTTCCATAAAAGGTAGTGTCGTAAAGTGCAACCGTCGTAAAAATACAGCTTTTACGACAGTCGCGCATTACGACACCTTTTGCGACAGTCGCGCTTTACGGCACCTTTTACGACAGTCGCGGTTTACGACAGTCGCGCTTTACGGCAGTTTTGCGACAGTCGCGCTTTACGGCACCTTTTACGACAGTTCCGCTTTACGGCACCTTTTGCGACAGTCGCGCTTTACGGCACCTTTTACGACAGTATTGCTTTACGGCACCTTTTACGACAGTCGCGCTTTACGGCACCTTTTACGACAGTTCTGTTTTACGGCACCTTTTGCGACAGTCGCGCTTTACGGCACCTTTTGCGACAGTCGCGCTTTACGGCACCTTTTACGACAGTTCCGCTTTACGGCACCTTTTGCGACAGTCGCGCTTTACGGCACCTTTTACGACAGTTCTGCTTTCCGACACCTTTTACGACAGTCGCGCTTTACGGCACCTTTTACGACAGTCGCGCTTTACGGCACCTTTTACGACAGTATTGCTTTACGGCACCTTTTACGACAGTCGCGCTTTACGGCACCTTTTGCGACAGTCGCGCTTTACGGCACCTTTTACGACAGTGTCGCTTTACGGCACCTTTTGCGACAGTCGCGCTTTACGGCACCTTTTACGACAGTGTCGCTTTACGGCACCTTTTGCGACAGTCGCGCTTTACGGCACCTTTTGCGACAGTCGCGCTTTACGGCACCTTTTACGACAGTTCTGCTTTACGGCACCTTTTGCGACAGTCGCGCTTTACGGCACCTTTTACGACAGTCGCACCTTACGGCAGTTTTACGACAGTCGCGCTTTACGACACCTTTTGCGACAGTCGCGCTTTACGGTACCTTTTACGACAGTCGCGCTTTACGGTACCTTTTACGACAGTCGCGCTTTACGGCACCTTTTGCGACAGTCGCGCTTTACGGCACCTTTTGCGACAGTCGCGCTTTACGGCACCTTTTGCGACAGTCGCCCTTTACTGCACTTTTACGACAGTCGCGCTTTACGGCACCTTTTACGACAGTCGCGCTTTACGGCACCTTTTACGACAGTCGCGCCTTTCGGCAGTACCTTTATGCAACATTTATGGTTTTTATTTTGTTTTTCATTTATTTTTAATTAATTTTATTTTTTAATTTTATTTTTTAATTATTCTTTATTTTTAATTTATCTATTTTTTAAAGCTTTTAAATTTTTTTCTAATTTTATTTTTTATTTAATTTTAATTTTTTTTTCTATTTTTAAAGCTTTTTATTATATTTTTCTAATTATTTTAATATATCTATTTTTAAAGCTTTTTATTTTATTTGTCCAATTTTTTTAATTTTTTATTTTTAATTTATCTATTTTTAAAAGCTTCTTATTTTATTTTTTATTTAATTTTTATTTTTAATTTTCCTATTTTTAATGCTTTTTATTTTATTTTTTTAAATTTATATTATATTTAATTTTTGTTTATTTTTCTTTTTTAAAGCTTTTTAATTTTTTTAATTTTATTTTTTATTTAATTTTTATTTTTAATTTTTCTATTTTTAAAGCTTTTTATTTTATTTTTCTAATTTTATTTTTCTAATTTTTTATTTTTAAAGCTTTTTATTTTTTAGATTTTATTTCTTATTTAATTATTATTTTTAATTTACCTATTTTTAAAGCTTTTTATTTTTTATTTAATTTTTATTTTTAATTTTTCTATTTTTAAAGCTTTTTATTTTATTTTTCTATTTTTATTTTAATATATCTATTTTTAAAGCTTTTTAATTTATTTGTCTAATTTTTTTAATTTTTTATTTTTAATTTATCTATTTTTAAAAGCTTCTTATTTTATTTTTTATTTAATTTTTATTTTTAATTTTCCTATTTTTAATGCTTTTTATTTTATTTTTTTAAATTTATATTATATTTAATTTTTGTTTATTTTTCTTTTTTAAAGCTTTTTAATTTTTTTAATTTTATTTTTTATTTAATTTTTATTTTTAATTTTTCTATTTTTAAAGCTTTTTATTTTATTTTTCTAATTTTATTTTTCTAATTTTTTATTTTTAAAGCTTTTTATTTTTTAGATTTTATTTCTTATTTAATTATTATTTTTAATTTACCTATTTTTAAAGCTTTTTATTTTTTATTTAATTTTTATTTTTAATTTTTCTATTTTTAAAGCTTTTTATTTTATTTTTCTATTTTTATTTATTTAATTTTTATTTTTAATTGTTTTATTTTTAAAGCTTTTTATTTTATTTTTCTAAGTTTATTCTTTAATTTTAGTTTTTAATTTTCCTATTTTTAAAGCATTTATTTTATTTTTTTATTTTTTATTTCTTTTATTTTTAATTTTTGTATTTTTAAAGCTTTTATTTTTTAATTTTTTTTGTTTTATTTTTAATTTTTCTATTTTTAAAGCTTTTATTTTATTTTTCTAATTTAATTTCTTATTTGATTTTTGGTTTTAATTTTTCTATTTTTAAAGCTTTGTTTTTATTTATTTTCTTTCTTATTTTAATTTTTAATTTTTCTATTTTTAAAGCTTTTTTTTTATTATTATTATTTTATTATTTTTAAAGCTTTTTATTTTATTTGGTGTTGCCCAGACCAACTCGTGATTGTGGTGGTGTTTGAGGGTCTTGTATTACGGCACTACCTTTTATGGAACTTTTATGGCACTTTACAGTTTTTATTTTGTTTTTCATTTATTTTAATTGAATTTTGTTATTTTATTTTTTATTTTTAATTTTTCAATTTTGAAAGCATTTTATTACATTTTATTTGGTGCTGCCCAAACCTGCTGTAGTGCATTTTTATACTTTGTAATACTTTGAAGTAATTTTGTTTTGTATCCCCATATTTTTCCCAAATGGTTTATCCCAAACTGTACCCCCTTCCTTTTACCTGTGTTATCCCTCTCCCAGGATGAGATCATCCCCAAACCTCCACCCTGGCTCTCTGTCAATCACTCAGCCTCCCATCCCCTCCATGCAGAAGTTTCGGTCCAAGTCATCGAGTGATTAGCCAGAGGCCAGGGGTCAGCCCCCAAGCCTTGCCCCATACGCTGTCCTATATGTCTATCCCCCAGCATCCATCCCTTAGGATCACTTAATGGTTGGTAGGATGTTATCTACTTTTGGTTTCCACCTCCCTTTAAATGTAACCTTGGCACATCTACCCGGGGCTCTCGGCAGGAGGCCCCCTGAGGTGCAGGAGCTCCTTTGGGACTCCTAATAAAACCTTGGATTAACCCCTGCTAAGAGTCGGCCCTTTATCTTCTACTGATGTCTCTGGTGTCTCTGCTGCTGCAAAGGCGACCAGCCCAGGTGCCCTCAGTACCCTCAGGGCACAGAGAGTGTCTCCCCCCAGCCCAGGTGCCCTCAGTACCCTCGGGGCACAGAGGGTGTCTCCCCACTGTCGGCCGTGTCGGGGCTGCCGACTCGGGACCGGCCGAGGGTTACTGAGAGGCTCGCACAAACCCACTCGGCCGCTGATTGTGGTGGTGTTTGAGGGTCCCCAGGACAAGGGAAGAGACGAGAATCTTGACTCCACCTTTCAGAAGGCTGAAATATTATTTTATGATCTCTATTATATTAAAAGAAAATGATATATTAGAACTATACTAAAAGAGCAAGGAGACATCAAAAAGCTGGAAAGGAATGAAGAATAAAAACCTGGGACTGCTCACAGCCCTGACACAGCTGGACCATGATTGGTCATCAAGTAGAAACAACGCACAGGAGACTAATCCAAGATGCCCCTGTTGCTAAACCATCTCCAGCCCACACTCCACAGCCAGCAGATTGTTATTGGTTCCATTTCTGTTCTGAGGCTTCTCAGGAGAAAAATCCCAGCAAAAGGATTTTCATCAAACACGTCAGTGCCAGGTGATGGCCGAGGTCACCTGCCAGCCCAGATGTCACAGCAAGGAGGAGAGAGTTCATCCTGTGCTCAGCCTGTGCTCACACAGCCCTGCCAAGGGACCGGCTGCCAAAACAGAGCCGTGCCATGCATGCCAGTGTCTGCATGGCAGAGAGAGGACATGAAAAGCCACTGAGGAAGCTGCCACCTCCTCCCTGAGCTCTGCCCTACAAGCCGGGTCATGGGCAGCCACTTTGGGAAGGCTGCATTTGCTGCCCATCAGCTGCTCTGTGTCTGACAGGAATTGAAATAGCCCAGGTTTGGGTTGGTGCTGAGCATAGGGCAGTGAGGAGAAAGGGAGAAGGCTGTGCTGCGGGGCAGGTGGATCCAGGCAGAGCCAATTTGGGGAGCAGCCTTGTCTAACAGCATTTCATTTTCCAGTTCTACTACATTACATTTCATTTTGCACTTCTGCTAGAACTGCATGTCAACAGGTTTCAAATATCCTCCTCAGTCCCAGCAGCCTGCTTGAAAGTGCTGTGTCTTTATCAGACCATTGATGGTCCTTCTGAAATGTGAGTCTCACTGGCTGCATCCAAACCTTGTGCTTGAAGAGCATTCCTAATTAAAGCAGATTGGGCCTTTGGGGAAGAAGGGGCTGCAAAGCATTTCCTAAAGCATTTTCTACTCCAATTTCATTGTGAGGATATATACCTGAAGAATGATGCAGGGATTAGGATTGAGACAAAGATGAGTTTGGTGGGTCAATTTTACTCTGTTGTTTTTTTATTTCCCTTTCTCTGCCCTTTTCCCTGCCCTCACTCCCCTGATAGCTGCAGAGGATGTGATTCAGGCACTCATCACTGCTCTGCAGCTTCTTTACAGAGCTAAAACTGACTGGGTCTTTCACCCTCCTCTCATAGCAGTGGTGCAGAGTGAGGCACATGGCAGGGCAGGGGTTTTATCTGTTGTTTTATCTTCTGGTTTGATGTTTAACACATGAGGCAGAACCCCAAGCCCCTGCTCACCATGTCAGGCTAGGCTGCAGGGGAGCACATTGACAGCAACACAGTGGCTGCACCACAACCACAATCAATCGGATAGAAAAAGGGTTTAAGGCTTCTAACAGTGCCATGGTGACTGAGCTGAGCCCAACCTGGGTCTAGCTTAATCCCTGATCTGTGTAAAGCCCTCTTCTGTGCTTTCCTGAGGCTGGGACAGCTGGAGAGGTTGCTCTCCATGAGCCCAGGATGGCAGCTGTGGGCTGAAACTCGCTGAGCTGCCTCCCCAGTACGTGATGGGATTGTGAGGGATTTAAAAGAAAAAACATTACAATGTCTTTGGCAGTCTTCCATGCTCACTTAAGCTGGCTGTTGGTGATTTTTTAAAATAAAAACCAAATGCTTTCCCTTTATAAGTAAATATGCTTTGAAGAGGGCTTTAAAGGAAAGATGATTAGTTACTATCCAACTGTTGCTAAATTCATTGGTTGATGGTCCATATACTGCATTTTTTAATGTCACTGATACCTGATACAGACCATTCCCAAGCTGTTTGATAATTATTTATCAGCCATCTGCATCAGCATCATCTGCATGACCAGTGATGGCCAAAAAGCAGGAAGGTGAGAAAGGGGTTAAGCTGTAGGCAGGAAAGGGAAGGCAGAAACCAAGCAGCAAACAATTGGCACCTGGGCTCCACTGAAGACTAAAAGTGGGGAAAAAAAGGCTTAATTGAAAAATCTGCCTATTGTGTGTGCAGTCTCCAAGGGGAAACAAACAAACCCACTCAAAGGAAGGGAAAAAAAGGCGAAGAATTAAAAAATCCTTGCGCTGTTGTGCAGAATTGGAGGGTTTAAGTCTTCCCAGTCTCTTCCCAGTCTCAGGCAGAAATATTTTTATAACCAAACCATCTCCCTTTTTAAAGCATTTAGTTGGATTAAGTAATTTCTTAAGTCCTCCATCATCAGGACCAGTTTGGGTTTGGCAGCTCAAACACCAAAGCTCTTGGCAAGGCCAGGACAAGTTCAGTGGTTCTCCCTGTCCTGAAAGAGAGGAGAAAAGGGAAGTTAAGCTCACTGCAGAATCAAGGACTCCTGCATTTCATCTTTTGGCTTGCATTGCTCACCATGGAGTTTTAGCCATAAAAAAGGGGAGGTGGCACCAAATCTAATTAAAAAGTGCCCTTTCCCAGTGTATTTATTCCAGACATTCAAAGGAAGCTCATTTTTCTTCTAGCATTCTTTCCCTAATTTTAGCAGAACCATTCTCATCCCAGACCCCACTCATCAGTTGTTCAATCCTTTGGCACTGGATCTGGACAAAGGAAGGGACACATCCGGGTCACAGGAAAGCACAGAGAGAAACTCTCCAAAACTGGACAGAGAAAAATGAAATGCAGGAAGACTTACCTGCAGCTGGATGCTCTTTGCACTGGGCTTCCTTTAAAGGAATGGATTTGTTGCTAAACACATCTCAGGCACACATAGGGAGTCAGACAGGGAATAGCCAGGGAGATGCAGGGCCCAAGAACATCAAGGATAGAGAAGAGAAGGAACAGGGATTGTTCTCCTCGTTTAGATCCATCAGTGCTGGGGGCTTGGGAAGCACATGACGGTACCAGAGAGATGCTGGGGAGGAGCAGGATAACTCCAGGATAAGCTGCTCCCACTCCAGGGCTAGGCCAGGGAAGGAGGGGAATTATTTCCCTCCCCTTTCCAGTGGGATGCAGGTGCCACCCCATGCAGAGGCAGGAAAACTGCCTTGCAATCAAGTACAAAACCTGCCTGGCAAGCCCAGGATGCCAGCAGCCATTTCTCCTGGATTTCCCGCTTACAGGCATTTTAAGCTTGCTTTGTCTCAAAAGCACCTTTTTTGCCAAGAGCATTCCCATTTCTTTTGGATCCTGAACAGAGGTTTGGAAAGCTGACTTTGATGAGGGAACTGTCTCCAACTGTGATCCGTGTTAACTTGGAGTTTCCCTTGGCACCAAAATCAGGGGGTGAACCCAACCCTTGAAGGGCCATAAGATCCTAACTATCCAATGCCCAATCCCCTCAGCATTGGCTTGTAGAACCTTCTCAGGGTTAATTTAGCAAACTTAAGGGTTTGGCAAGTTCAGGATCAAAACAACCAAAAAAATTCGTGAAAAAGAACTGAACCGAGGCTGGCTAAAAGCTGATGACTCATTACAACATTGAGTGAAAAGCAGGCAGGATTGATCCTATGAAAAACGCCAATCGCTTGTTTTTAAAATTTTAAAAGTTTAACAGTAATTAAATGGTTATAAAAACAGTAATACAATTAGAGTAATAATAATTTGGACAAATTAAATTAAGACAATACAAGACAATAGAGACAAAGAGTTACGGACGTCCGGGTACCTTTTTCTGGCAGCATAAGCCCGAAAAAGGACCCCCATTAACAAAGGACTAACCGATAAAAACAATAACCTGTTGCATATTCATACATCTCATACATGATGCATAAATTCCATTCAAATACAGGATTCTGTCTGGTCATCATCAACTTCTTCCTCTGAATCCTAACAGCGCCTTCGAGGCAGGAAGAAGTTCATTTCTTCTAATAAGAGAGCAATAAATTCTTTTTCTTTGAAAGATTTAGGTGTCCTGTGGCTGCTATCTCACTGCGAGTCCTTTCTTTAAAAAAAGTCTCCTACATAGCATAGTTTCTAATTTAACATTTTGTTATAATCTAAAACTATATTTAACACACTACTTAAGAGAATTAATACAGCATTACTTTCTAACACAACACATATAATATTCATTTTAATATTTCCGAAACGCCAATCACAAAATACGCACTTTTCACATTTTCAATACTCACCAAGCCACCTGGCCAGAGTTCTGTGCCCACCAAGGACACAGCAACCAGCAGGGACCTTCCTCCCATTCTCCAGCACAGGCTTCTTCCCTCCACACGCAGGGAGCTGCAGCCACTCAGGGAACACCGACTTAGTCACAACAGGAGAGGCACAAGGATAATTTGGAACTCGCTGTGACCTCAATACCGCCCAGACCCAGGAGAAAGCACTTTTCCGATCAGACGGAGCGGGGTATTTCCCGTACCGCCCTCCCTTCTCCCTACCCAAGGCGCATGAGCACACTGCCGCCATCATTGCAAGGGCAAGTGAGTGCCGCCCTGAGCCGCCATCTTGAGTGCGGCGTAAAAAGTGTCTTTTTTTTCTCTCCCCTTTCCAGTTTTCACCCCCTGCAGAGGCAGGAAAACTGCCTTGCAATCAAGTACAAAACCTGCCTGGCAAGCCCAGGATGCCAGCAGGCATTGCTCCTGGATTTTCTCTCCGCAATCTTTGGTACTGGCAGAAGCCACTCCCGGCCGAGCCGCCATCTTTGTTGTGGTACCCTTAAGCATCCCCCGCTCCTCACACAGGCGTTTCTCTTACCGGCTGCCTCAACCCGGTCCCGACGCCGGTCCCGACGCCGATCCCGCGCTCTCGGCGCCATTTTCTGCTGCTTTTCCCGACGGGAGAAAACGGGTGGCGGGGTCAGCGGCACCGGAGCCCCGCGAACCGCGGCAGGGAGCGGCGGCGACGCCTCTGCCGGAGTCCTCCCGCGGCGCCATCTTGAGTGTGGCTGGAGCCCGACCCGGCTCATGCAGGGTCCTGGTACGCGGGCGCTTCGCCGTCTTGAAATGGCAGCTCTGTCCCCTCCGCGCCTCCGCCGCCCGCCGAAACCGGCCCCGCCGCTGTCGTTCTTCCCAGCCACCGCCCCGCACGGCGGCCGCTCAAGCCCGGCCACGCCCCTTTGCACCCCTAACTGTGCTTCACCGCTCCTCTCTGTGCACAGTACCGCTCTGTGCCCACAAGGTGGCAGCACCGCCCCCCTGCCCGGGCCGGGCTGGACGCACCTTGGGGCAGGCAGGGAACGGAGGCCGAAGCTGCCGGAGAGCCTTTTGTATTTATTCCCTTCAGCCCCAGCAGCTGTTCCTACGGTTTAAGGGCACTTGATTGGTTCATTCCTAGGTAAAAACGTTATAACATTGGTTTCAAAACGACTACGCATCTCTAGTCAGAGTTTCCTACATTCCTGTATACAATAGAATGGATAGATTCTTTCCAAATCATCCTTTCCAAATGGTTTTAGAGATAAATTCCAATTCTTTGCCAATACCTATAAAAACGAAAAACTTGACATGTTTTGGTGTTCTACACCCACCCCTCCGCGTGAATTTTCTGGCAGCTTTTGGTCCCTCTGGGGGAAGGTTACCCAGCATGACCCCCCCCTCACTCCCCACTCACCTGCTCCTCCATCACAGCCTGGTGTGACAGTGTTCACAGGAGTCTTAGGATGAGGGAAGAGACAAGGATTTGACTCCATGTTTCAGAAGGCTTGATTTATTATTTTATGATATATATTATATTAAAACTATACTAAAAGAATAGAAGAAAGGATTTCATCAGAAGGCTAGCTAAGAATAGAAAAAGAAAGAATGATAACAAAGGCTTGTTGGTCCAGCATCCACAAACTGACACCGTCCCTGTTTCAGTTTCCCTACTCAGAGTCTGAAGAGTGGCTTCTCATCACACACTGGGGCTGGAAAGGCACAATCCAGGACAGGAATTATTTGGTCCAATCTGAACTTTCACCAGCATCCCAGCCCCATGAGGAGGCTTGGACCCCATTCCAAGATATCAGCATGTCAGGGGCCAGATGAATGGACAGGTTAGAGAGGGGAGGTTGGGCAGGGGATGCTGGCAAGATATTTATACTGAGGATACAGAGGGAGCGATCTGTGTTGCTCTTTGCCGAGCAAAGAAAATAACAATTTGGGCAGGTTTGAAAAGCACCGAAACCACAACAGGAAACCCAAATTGTACAAATGCAGATGTGAGTGGAAAAAGCTCTTGAGCTGGTGGCTCTGACTTTCACCTCCACTAAAAATAAACCTGCCTTATTAGGGGCAGATGGAGGCCAAGATAAAACATCTCTCCCCCCCCCACCCCCCACCATGTTTTTCCATGGAGGGGCTCTTTTGTGTGATGCTGGGTGATGTGGCTTTCTGGGGGTAGCGGGGATGGATGGCTTGGCCAGGGGCTTGTGTTGGGTTTTGGAGAGGATCTGGGAAGTTTAAGGGTTTTGGGGATGTGTGTCAGGTTTTCTGGAGGAGGGTTGCTGGAGTTGGTGTGATTTAGGGCTAGACAATGTAGGGTGGGGGTGTGATGAGTTGTAACAGTCTCTGATAATAGTAAGGGCAGCCTGGCAATGCCACATCCTGCAGCACAGCAGGAACTGGGGGGAGGAATTGGGGGTGCTGAGAAAGGGAGGGATTGGGAGCCAGGATTACAGGGAGCAGCAGAACTCCTCCTGGGACCCCCACGTAACACAGGCTGGGCTCCTCTTTCCCATGCCTGTTTCCTCGCTTTGGACCACGCCAGGGTTGCAGCACCCCATGTTTGGGGGGAGGCTGTGGCAGACAGTGCCAGGTTTGGGTGCCCATTGCCCCCCTGCTGCTGCCCCCCAGCCCCCCGAGGATATTGTGGGAGTTGCTTCACTGTCACCCTGGCAGTGGCAGTGGGGCCTAGGCTCCTCTGAGTGAGCCCAGTGTCTCCACAACCGCAGCAGCCAGGGTTGTTCACACTTGCAGCCTTTGCACCCCCAGCCCCATCCTCCTCCTCCTTTTTCAGGGATGCAATTTGGATGGATGCAATTTGGGAAGGGAGGAATCAAAATGATTTTGGAGACAGAAGGGAGCAGAGCAAGGGGTGGGCTGAGCACCAAATTGTGAGTGTATCTCCAGTAGTGGCACAGCAGCACCTCAGCACCTACGCTGCGGGGGACACCCTCAGGGACCTCCTCAACAGGGCCTGTGTTATGGGGGTCACATGGCATGAGCTGATCAGTCTTGGGCCCCTTAGGGTAACACGGGGGTGTGATGCTCATTAGGGTAACATTGGGGGTGCCCCAAAAGGGTCCCAGGAGGGAAAAGACCCCCCAGGGTGCAGATGGACTCAGAGGGGCTGCTACCATGTCAGGGGTGGGGAGGGGAAGGGTGGGGTCTGTCCAGCCATGGGGCAAGGTGATGAGGACAGTGGCTGGGGCAGGGGGGTTGGCACAGGAAGCAGTGGCAGTGGAAGCACTGCTCCCAGCTCCCCAGATGCGCCTGTGAGATAGGGCAGCAGGAAGCAGCTGTGGGGAATCCTGGTGCTGGGAACAGCCACTGCTGCCTGCCCAACACCGTCTGGGCCCAACCCCACTGTCTCTCCCCACTCTGGGTACTATCCAGGGATGTTCCAAAAGTCCCAGCCTTTCCTCTGCAGGGAACAGAGATGTCCAGGGTTTGCCCTGAAGAAGCAGCTGTGACTCCTCATGGGAATATATGGTTCCCTCTGGCTCTGACGGTGATGGAGACATGGTTCTGCTCTTGACAGGGCTTTGGATGAGAGGAAGTGTGGGGAAACTGAGGCATGGACAGTGACTGAGCAGCTTGGCTACAGTTCATGTCACAGTTCCTGGTTCCCTCCCAGAGAGATGAGAGTGTTCCTCTCCCTCCCCTGAGTACTCTGGAACAAGGTAATGCCTCATGGTGTTCACTTGGTCCCCAATGATCACCAGCAGGGACTGTCCTGGGTGCTGCCTCCAGGCTAGGTTGGGCTCAGGCTGAGGGTAGGTTCCTGGGGCTAATCCCCTGCACAAACAGCCGCACATTCCCCAGGGCTGGATCAGGTTTCCTGGTGACATGGCTTGGGGGGGCAGGGCACCTCACTGCTGCTTTTTGGGTGTAGGTGCCACTCCTTTTCCTCTCCTAATTCTCTGCCATTTGTCTGCTCATCCAGCCCCGTTCATGGCCCATTATGGAGCCTCTGGCATTGTCTGGCTCGGGCAGAGGGTCCATGTGGTGGGTGAAGGGGGTAAACTGAGGCACAGATCCTTAGAAAGGAGCCAGGCTCCTTTCTGCATGGACTGTGGACTAACATCCATCCATCCATCCATATCTGCCAGCTCCAATTTATAATCTCCATTGATCCTGAAACACCCCAAATCTGGGACATCATAGCTCGATATAAGGGTGTCACTGTGGCTACAGGCACCCCAGGGAGGGTTTGCCAAACTACACTGGGACCTTTCAGCACATTCTCTGCGTGACTAATGGCCGGAGCAGGGCCACAGTGCCTGCCTGCCCCTGCCTGTCCTTGCCTATCTTGGACTCGCTGTCCATCCAGGAGTACTCGGCCCCAGCACGAATCGAAATGTCAAGAGAGCTGCCACACAGTGTTCAGCAGGATCACCAAATGGTACTGGACTGCCTCCCCATGGCCTTTGGGATAAGGTGGGAAAGGGATCTCAGAGCCCTTTTAAGAAGCCAGAATCCCTTTTTTCCCTTGAGTTTCCATCTGGATTTCTTCTCCAGTACCAAAACTCCCTCGAATTGCTGCTGTGCTGTGCTGTGCCATGTGGGTGCCCAAGATGGGGATGGGGGGGGGGGGGGGGGGTGGGGGGGGTGGGGGTGGTGGCTTAAAGCATCTCCAAAAATCAGTAAATTAATCTCTGAGCTTTTGTTCCCATTTTGTGCTGAGCCAGAGCAAGCCAGCCAGGTCCCTCAGCTTCCCTTGCTCCTGAAGGATCCTGAAGGTCTCTGAAGATCCCTGGTAAATGGAATTTATACCTCAGCCCCATCTGAAAAAGAATGACCCCTGGGGAAGAGCCCTTCTTCCCTTTGTAGCTGCCTTGGGCACCCTGCCACATCTCCATTCCTCTCCTCTCCCATCAAACCCCTGTCCCGCAGCCAGGGCTTCCAGACAGCCCCCAGCTTCCAAAAGACAAGAAATTCCTCCCAAAATGCTGGTGGTGTTCCCCCAGGACACAGGGACCCCCACACTTGCCCTCTCTGCCTTGCAGCAGCCAGGCCAAATCTGGCCATTTCCACTCCATGTTACATCCCTCACATCCTGTCACCTGTACTGACTTATTTCAGGGGGGAAAAAAACTCAAACCAAAGCCAAGCCCAAGGGGCAGATTATTTTGGGGTGGGGGGAAGCAGCTACTTGTGAGGCTCCCCCCCAAGTTTTGAGGACCTTTGCAGGTATTTGCAGCATGGGCAAATCCCCCGGGATTAAAAATCTGTTCCCAGGAAAAGGAAAAAGGTGGGTAGGGAGCAATAGCTGAGCTGTGGTGAGGTACATGGTCCCCCCTCCCACAAGGGGCTTTTTGGTATCATTTTGGGGTGCTTGCTGAGGTGGAAAATCCCAGCTCCTGCTTCTTCTGCTGCTTCTTTTACTTTTCATTTTAATAAAACCCCCCAGTGTGGGCCCTTTCACCACGAAGTCATCATGCTCCAGAGCATGCCCACTCCCTTCCTCCCCCATTTTCTGTCCTCCACACCAAGAAATCCACTCCTCCCGCAGCCACTGCATAAGGACACCCCAAACCCGGAGCTGACACCGCAAGGGCACCCTAAAAGCGCCGCTTTGTCCCCGGTCAAAAGTGAAGTGACCCCTCCGGGGGAATGAGGGGTTGTGACACAAACTTGGGGTGATCAGATAAAAGCATTCTTGTGCTCCCAGCCCTCTCACACACTCGGGGTATCCCAGGATTGGAATGAATCCCCCTGGAATAGGGCGGCAGCGTGGCCGTGGCGGTGGCGGTGCGGGGGGAGGCGCGGGGGGAGGTTGCCTTGGCCACGCATCCCTCTGTGAATGCATGACGTGCGCAGGGCTGGCGCCAGGCTGTCTGGGGCCGGGAGTTAGATCAACACAGCTGGAGGGCCCGGGCCACAGCTGGGCAAAGGCAGCGGGTCCCGCCGCCCAGGCAGGGCCTGTGGGAACCGCCGCCAACAAAACCCCCCTGCAAACAAAAGCTCCCCTCCCAGTCCCTCTGAAGCCTTTCAGCGCCCCCCCCCCCCGCCCCCCCCCCCCGCCATCCCTTGGGAAATGAGAGGGGGTGTATGGGAATAAGCAGAGGCTGTACGCTGCTGTTTTGTATTGAGGGGAAGTCATAAGAAGGATTCAGGTGGTGGTCTGAAAAGAGTTTCTAAAAATGTTTTGTAAACGTTTTAAAAATCTGTGTTAATTTCATGAAGTTTTACACTAATTATTTATTTTTAAAAGATGTTTAATTCTTTTTTAACTTTATTTTGTTCCGGTTTTTTGGGGGGGGGAGGGGGGGGGGGAGTTGGTTAATGAGGATAATTATGCATCTTCCCAAGCTGCTATCCTTTACACAGAGGTGATTTCCCAGGAAATTCATAACGAGTGAGGTGGGGGGTTCGGGGGGATGAGGGGGAGGGAGTGGAGGGAAAATAAAAGGTACAAAAATAATCCAACCATAAAGAGTGTTGGACGCTGCTTTCAAGGTTTTTTTGTTGAGCAGCTCATGGCTTGGGGGAGATGTGGGGAGAAGGGGTGCCCTCCAGCCTGCAGCCCCCAGGCCCCTTTGGAGGGTGGAAATAAACCCCAGCACTACCAAACTGTGATCTGGGCAGATCTAGAATAAATCGCTGCCGTGGGCAGGAGTAATTTGGTCCAGGTGCCTGTACCCTCACCCCCCTGCCCCTGTCATTAGCAGGGAGCCCTGGGCCAAGCAGGGTCCCAGAGTGCCTCCCTCCAACCCTCTTGGCTGTAACATTCCTTTCCTGCACTTTCATAACCAAGCCCCCACAAGACCCCCCCATAACTAAACCCCACCAAAGTCAATATTTGGGGGAGAGAGGATTTTCCCCTTGGGCTCATCCTGACTCACTGTCAGGGTGTTGTGGGGCTGTCGCTACTGCGGGACCCCTCCACGTGCCACCCACTGCAGTGACACCCACCGGGGACCCCAGATCGCTCCAGCTTTGGGCTTTTTCTATGGACATTCTCTGATTCTGTAAGTTTTAAGGCAGCTATGGTAGAAGGGCAGTTTCCTTCATATCCCGCCCGCTCCCCCCCCCCGCCAATCACTTCTGCTAGGGATAACCCCTTTGCCTATAAATCTCCTCTCCCACCTCCAAAATAAAAAACCCTCCAGGCCTCTCGCAGGCGCTGACCTAAATCTGGTTTCTCCATCGTAACCTCAATTTTACCGCAATTAATTTTTTTCTGCTGGTCACAAGATAATTCCTGACGCCAGAAAGTCTGGAGGTCAGATGAGAAGCGGATTGAGGAAAAGGGCGGCACTAATTTCCTTAAAACAGGGAGGTTGGGAGGTGGGAAACCCCATCGTCCTGTCTAAAAATAGGGGGAATTCACTGGGAAGGGGAGTGGGACAGTTTCGGGGTGCTAGGGTGTTGAAGGGGTTAGGGGGGGATAATCCCCAAGAGGTTTGGCGGGTCTGGCCATGGGGAGGGGGACCTGCGTGGTCGTGTCATCCCCCGTCGGGCCACCGAGGGTCAATCTGTGGGGCTGGGGTGGGAGGGGGGGGGGGCGGGGGGGGGTGAGGTAGAGGGGTTTAGGACTTCATTTATGTGTAGGGGTGGAGTTTGATGCTTCATTGACACTCGGAGGCGGGGTTTAGGGCTTCGTTTACATAAAAGGGAAGAGATTAATGGTTATTTTACATAAAAGGGGGTTGTATTGCTCAAAATTTGCATGTAGTGGGCGCGGTCAAGTGGCGCTGCCTATATAAAGACGGCGCGCGTACGTCCCATTTTCCCCGATCCTCTCCGATTTGCCAGCGAAATACGAAAGTTGGGGGTCGAGGAGTGAGAGTCAAAGCTCTTAGAGCTCCTCTCTTTGGCGGTCTGGTGCTCGAAGGTCCCAGCAAAACCCCCGCTGCCGCGACAGCCCCTGAGGCTCCTAGGCATCCTCCCGTCCTGCATCTCCAGACCTGCTCTGAGCCCACCATGAAAGCCATCAGCCCGGTGCGATCCGTCCGGAGCTGCTACGAGGCTGTTTGCTGCCTCTCGGAGCAGAGTTTAGCCATCGCCCGGGGCAGCCACAACAAGAGCCCGGCCTTGGAAGAGCCCATGAACTTGCTCTACGATATGAACGACTGCTATTCCAAATTGCGGGAGCTGGTGCCGGGCATCCCTCAAGGCACCAAGGTGAGCCAGGTGGAGATCCTGCAGCACGTCATAGACTACATCTTCGACCTCCAGATTGTGCTGGAGGAGGGGTCCAAGGGCCGCGACCCCTCCTCCGAGGCCACCCTATTTTCCCTTAAGGTAAGGGTCGCTTCGGACTGGGGACTAGGTATGTCGATTTGGGGAGAGAGGATCTGTTAGGTTGGAGGTGATAACAAGTCGGGACAGGGGTGCTGCTGGGTCCCCGAGTGTATTGGTGGGTCATGGCACGGTGGGGAATGGGGAGGAGTGGGGACCACCAGCTGCCGGGGTAATCTTAAGCCCCGTCCCTTCTCTCTGCAGGCGGCTGAACTCGCCTCAGAACTCCGCACCAAAGACGAGAGAAGTTTGTGTCACTAACGCCACCTCCTCCAGGTGAGTGTCGCCTCCGATCACCACCGCCACCACCATCCGTAGCCCAGTCCTCCCCTCCCCATGTGCCCACAGGTGGCGTCCCGGGGCGCCCTCCCGCCCCCAGCATCAAAATCCCCAGCGGACCGATCCCCAGCAACCCATGCTCCCCCCTTCCTAATTTCCCCTCGCCCCAATTTTTCACCACCCGCACCTCAGTCGACCTCCCCAACCCACCCCCGATACCGATCCAAATAATGCAGACTAGTGCTCCCCCTTTCTGCACTCCCCCCCAAGTCTGCCACCTGACCTCCAGTCCCCAACCAGCACCAACCCACCCCCAGCATCCCCAGCCGGGAGCCAGATACAGTCCCCGAGGAACTTGGTTTCCTGGCTCCCACCCTCTCTTCCCAAATTTCCATCCCCAACTCCACTTACCACCGCACTAATTACCACTATTATTTTTTTCTCCTCCCTCCCCCTCTGTTCTCTCACCTCCCTGTGCCAATTAGCAAACAGGCAGCGAGTGTCGGTTCCTGGTTCGTTATCAGCCGGAGGTAAATAGCAGCTTCCTCCGTGGCGCCGGGCTGTCTGCGACCTACCGGCCCCGGCATCGCCTCCCCCGGGCCCGGGCACCGCGAGTGGGGAGCGGCTGGTTCCGACCCCCCCCCCCCCCCAGCCTTCTACCGCCAGCATCCCACCCACGGAGCTCAGCATCCCAGCTTGGGACCCGAATTCACATGAGATATTTTTAATGCTAGACTGATGATGAAGCGGAGGTTGTCTGTATATTTTTGGATTATAGCAGCGAGTCCTTTTTTTAAAGGTGTTTAATGGGATGGCAGGGTGGGGATTAGGGGGCTTTGGGGAGGGGGGGACAAACATCCTTGAGTATGAACTAAACTCTCTGGGGCTGTGGCCTCGTGTATTGTGGAGCTCTATACTAGAGTATAACTTTTTGTACCTTTTGTGCAGGAAGGTGATTTTCTGCGAATATGCCTTGTACTTGCTTTATAAACTTTTTATAAAAGTTATCATTTTTGCATAATAAAAACCAGATAATTTTGATTGGTTTTTCTCCTGCATCGCTGGGATGGAAGGAGCTGGGGTGTACCTCTGGGTGGGAAAACCCCCTGGGGGGGTGGGAGCCTCCCAGACTTTGATGGGAACTTCTAGGGTTACTGTAGGAATCTCCATAATTGTGTAATAGCGTTGAAATGTCAGCTCAGGTATGGGAGGAATTAACCCTGGGCTGCCGGCTCCTGGCCGAGGTGGCTGCCAGCTATTTTGTGTGCTGCTGTGCTTACCCGATACTGAAGGAGTGAAGACGGTGCTGCAGCCCCGGGGACCATCTAGAGGTGTAGCTAGAGCCCTGGGAAGGAGGAAAAAATACGCTTTTTTCCACTTTTAGCCATGTGAAAATGGGCTGATAGGTGCCATGATGCTGGATTTGAGCTTCTATTGGGCTGGAAGGGGTGATGCTGCTCCCCCAGCATATACCCCATATGGGAGGTATATGGAGTTTTTGGACTGCTTTTGCTGCCCCAGGTAGTATTGAGAGAGCAGCCCCTGCCTGGCCCGATCTCCTCAGGGTCAACACTGCAGGGAAGAGGTGTTGGGAGCAAAAATGGTTTTCCCTCCCCTTGGGTAATGCTGTGGTTTCCCTTTGGCCCGGGAGCAGAACAGATGTGACCCCAGGCTGGCTCGGCTGTGGAGCTGGATCGTGCTCCCTGGGGAAGGTGTTGGCCTGCCCAGGATGAAGTTAAATTGACTTCACCCCCACCTGTAGCACCATCATCTTTATTCCCTGTGCTGGGCTCTGGTTTTGCTGCTGTGGGCTTAGCCAGGCATGATGTGGATCCTGCCCCATGGCATTGGGGTGTCCCCAGGGTGCTCCAGCATCCAGGGGTGCATCATGGGAAGAGGAGAAGGGAGAAGACACTAGGGTCTCGGAGCACAGAGTGATACAAAGCTTCGCCCACGCACACTGGCTTCAGCCTCTACCCAATGGGAGAACAGAAGCTTGGGGTGCAGCTGGCACCTGCCAAACGCTCCTTGTCCATGAGCATTTCCACAGAGAAAAGCAGCACGTGGAACTTCCAAAAAGCACCACCTGGTCCAACTGGATCACCAGCCCCTGGGAACTTTCCTCCCTCCTCCCAGCTTGATGTCCCCAGGCTCCCCAGGGCCAGTATCCTCCTGCACCTCTGGATGGGGTAGGATGAGGCGACATGGGCTGTCTGGGCATGGTGAGAGGCAGGTGAAGGTGTCCATCCAGAAACCACTGCATCTGGGAACAGAGCTGCTGTTATGCTCACAGCGAAAAATTAGCTTTTGCCATCTCCACTGGTTTTTGGCTCTGGAGGAAAAGGCAAGGGGTGGGTTAGGGGCGAGTGTCCCCACATTCACCCGGGTGTCATGGTCCTCCAGCTGTGCCGGTGCTGATGTGCCAAAGGGATCTAAGTGGGATGGGTGGGAAAAGCATCCTGGGTATGAGCCAGGGGACAGGGATCAGTCTTGGTACCTGGAAAGTGGAGCTTCTTGCAGTGTGAGCACTCCATCCCAGGTCCTAATGGGTCCCTCATCAGAGATGATGGTGGTGGAAATCCTGGACTCGTGAGAGCATTAGTGAGCCTACTTTGGGGCAGGAGTTACTTGGAGAAGCGGGGCTAGGATAGGGTGGGAGAAACCAGTCCTGCTGGGGCTTTTTGGATGGAAATGACACTGGGGAGGTGGAGGGGGACTGCAGCCCCCGGGGAGTGGAGGTGGCCCCTGCCCCTATCCCCTCTCAGGCATCAGGGCAGGGGATTCCCGAGGCCAGGGGCTGTGGGGGTTCGGCAGGGTGTAGGTTCGGCTCTAGCTCCCAAGAAGCCTCCCAGGGCCGTTACCTCCTCCCCCGTGGTGGACGGATCCCGGCGCCTTGCCCGGAACACCCACCCCGGCATTCCCAGACTCTGGTACAAGCCGTGTTCAGACCCCACTAGTTCCCTGGACTGGGCTGTCAGTGTCCAGTGCTTTCTTTGAAACGCCTCTTAAAAAAAAAAAAGAAAGGAACCCCCCACAACTAATGCTGGGACTGGGATTTACCTCGGGGGGGGGTTAATGGGATGATTTACCCTGTGGGGCAGATGGGATTTGCCTCGGGGAGAAGATTTACCCCATGCAGATTTATCTTGGCTGTTGTGGGATGCCGATGCTTTCCTGGAAAACCCTGATTTAAAAAAAAAAAAAAACAACGACAAAAAAAAAAAAAAAAGTAAAGAAAACGGGAAAAACACGCAGCTAAAAATAGCCGCAAGGGCCGAGATTTACCTCGGGGAGAACAGCTGGAACGAGAAAAATGCTCCTGGCCGAGTAAGCCCGGCGTTACTTTTACCACCCCAGCTACACTGCAGGGGTGGAGAAAAGGGGGTGAGGAGGGCAAAAACTAATACCGGGGGGGTGAGTGGTGAAGGTCGAGCGCGGCCCCGCCGCGGTGCCGGTGGCCCGTGATCCGGCTCGTTCGCCTCTTGGCAAGCGCCGGAGTCTGATGCAATCGCTGCGCTGACGGAGGCGGCGGTTCCCACCTGTATTTGCCATTGTGTGCCCGGAGCTGTTTGCAGGTGTTTGCTGGCGCCGCGCTGTCTGAGCCGCACTTCCCTCCTCCTCCTTCTCCTCCTCCTCCCGCTGCTGCCCCGGCCAAGGCCTGGCCCCGCGGCCCCCCCGCCCGGCTCCGCGCCAGCCGCGCTGACACAGATGCTGCGAGCACACGCGTGACCTTGGCCAGGCGCGCTCACGCGGGGAGGGGGGGTTCTGGCCGCTAAGCGCGGGTGTGCACACGCACGTGTGTACTCACATGCAGTCACTGACACGTGTGGCATGAGCATATTCACATGTGTGTCCATGTATGCACACATGACTGCATTTGCACACACCTGTGTGCACTTACTTACACACGTGTTTACAAACACTGACACACATGTGTAAGTGCACGTCACACGGGCAGATGTGCATACGTGACTGTGTTCAGTTACACACAGCTATGTGCACTCACACATGTGTATTCAGATGCTGACACGTGTCCAGGCACACTCACACGTGTGCATGCATTTACACCCATACCCATAAATACTTACAATATGCCTACGGGCACTGACGTCTGTGCACACTTGAAATACAGGCACACTTATGTGGTGCGGTATGTGGTGCATGTATGCACACACTTACACACGTGCCTACACACGTGTGCATGTATGCACAGGAGGGCTCATCCTGCAAACCAACCTGCGTAGGGGCTCAGTACCCCCTTGGTTGGACCCCCCAGAGATGCTGTGGAATTAGAGGAAGCTATTCCTGCTCCCTCCCCACCCTCGTGGAGACCATCCTCCGTCGTGGTAGCCAACCCGCTTGTTCCTGTCAGCCCTTGTCTTCCCTCTCCCACAAGTGACATCAGGGCTTTGTCCCACGGTGGGACTGAGGCTTCACGCACGTCCCAAAATCTGCCGGGGACGAGGGAGGGTGGATCCGCAACGGTGCGGGCCCCGCAGCCGCGACTCGCTGCTGCCGTCTCCAGGGCAGAAGAAGAAGAGCCCGGCTCATCGGGAAGGCTCTCCCCTCCGGAAGATCTGGGATTTCAGATTTCCTCTGGTGTACCCTTGGAAACGACCAGGATTTCCCCCGATGCCTATCCCGGCAAGATTTGGGATCTCTTCTGCTGTACTTCTTGTGAAGGATCAGGACCTTCTCTGATGCCCTTCCAGAAAGGTCTGGGACCTCCTCTGTTGCCCCCATTCCAGGCACAGGGATGTGTGGCATTGGGCTGTGGGGGCTGCTGGCCACCTGTGCTTGCCTAGGCCCATCACATGCTCCTTGGACAGTTTTTCCCCCCGGTCTGGGCAGAGCCATAGGGCAGCAGCACCCTTTGTACCCTCCTTGTACCCTCTCTCTCCTGGGAATGTTCCTTGGGGAGGAAAATTAGGGGATGGGATCTCATTTGGGGTCCACAGCCCAGCTTCAGCCCCCTGCTTTTGGGATATAGTCCACCTCCTCCTTGTGCTCTGCATCCTGATGAGGTCCCTCACCTCCAAGCTGAACATGCAAAAGAATTTCCAGATCCTGAGGTGAGCGATGGTGTGGGGGCTGCACCCCTAAGCCTCTGGTGGTGCCCTCTTGGTCTGGGCAGAGATGCAGTGGCCCAGGTGTAGCGCCACTATTCCATGTGCTGAATCTGCACTGGGAAAAACAACATAATTACTTCTTCTTCGCCATCAGCTCTTCACCTTGCTTTTGGGATGCAGTTCAGACCATCCCAAGACATTCAGGGGAGAAGCTCAGACAGGTCTCCTGGCTCCTCCTCTCACCATGGCCAGAACAGTGATGGGATCTCTCACCTTGCTCCAGGGTGAGGAGGCTGGTCAAGGGGCTGATTAGGGGTGCTTCAGGCCATCCACGAGGTCATTCCAGACTTCTGTAACATGACAAAGTGAGATAAATAGTCTCTAAGGTCCTTTCCAATCCAAACCCCTCTGGCTTGTGGGGTGGAAGCTGGTGCAGGGCCTGCCCTTCTGGACACCTTGGTGTCACAGGAAGATACAAATCTGTGTCTTCTGGTATGGGAGAGGCTGGTGGAAAGCCATGGCTGTAAAAGGCTTATTGAGCAAATATTGGGTAGTGGGAAACATGCCCTTGACTCACAGCACAGCACAGCTGAGGGGATGAGGGCCAACAAGTTTTCCCACCTTCTGGGTCAGCCCTTGCCCCAGTGAGGTCACACTACCAACATGTGGGGACGTCACCTCTGCTTTGCCCAAACTGGAGGATTTGAGGACACAAGCTGCCAGGCCCACCCCATACCCCAATGTCCTTATCCCAAGGGTCACCCACTGGAGCAAGCTCAAGGCAGGCAATTGACACAATTATCCACACTGCTGGTCATGGCCTTGTCTTTGTGCACTGGGATCAGGACAGCATTTGCCTTCTTCCCACAGAGAGGAAGAAGAAGTTCTGGGTGGATAGATCTGCCAAGCTCAGCCACACTCCTGGCACAGGGGTTGCCCTGCCCAGCTGGGGTAGCATCGCTGCTGCCAGGCCTTTTGTTCTGCCTCAAAGTCTCGCACGGTGGGAGGCAAATGTCTATCCTTGATCCAAGGCTCCTGGCACATTTCTAGGTGCCTCTCCCAGCTGAGTGTCCTTCCTTGTCCATAGCAGAGGCCATGCCCAGCGTGTGTATCCATCTGTCTGTATTCCAGGAGGCTTCTTCACATAAAAGTCCATCTCTGCACATGATTATCCTTATCGCAACCTGAGCATGGAGTTGGCTCTTCCTGGAGAGGAGAATGATGGAGAGAAGAAAAATGGGGAGGAATGAATGGGTGGAGGCATTTGTCTCCATTACCAACCAGGTAATGGAGACAAATCAGGGAATGGAGAGGAACCAGGGAACAGAGACAAACAAGGTGACAGAGAGGGACAAAGGGAAACCAACTGCTGTGGCTTGGTGGCCTCAGCAGAATTAAACCCTGGCCTGTCTCAGTGGCTGTGGTGGCCTTTTACTGGTGCCAGTAAGGGTTAGAGTTGCCCTCGTGCAGGGGTTTGCCATTGCCTCGGTGATTCCTGTTACTGCTGCACTCTGAAATACCCTGTAGGCCAGCTTGGGTGCCCTTCATCCCCTTTTTCTCTCTCCACTTAGCCAGAAAGACCTGGTGCATTCATTCCAAGGACATGGGTGGGGTGCATGTGGAGCAATGGGTGGCAGGTTGAATGAACTATGAGTGAACCAGGGGCCAGATCTCCTCATGCTGAGCCCCTCTGAGATCCCTGCCCTCCCCCAACAGCACTGTCACTTGTCTGCAGGGTGGGGAGGTGCCTGACAGCCTCTGGCTGGTGGAGGCCAAAATTTTTGTTTTAAATAGAAGTGGCTCCCTCTCCCCTACCCTGCGTTGCTGTAACTGAGGATAGGGGTGGAGGAGCGATGGGAAGGGTGGGATAAGGAGGAGAAGATGAGGACTGGGGCTTGAGGGAGATAAGAGATGGTGAGGAATGCAGGACGATGGGGTTGGAGGGTCGCAGCCCCCAGGGTGGACCCCACCAGATTGATGGGGGGGGCGGGAGTATCTTCGAAAAAATAAATAACAGAAAATGTATCCTAGTCCTGATCCCCAACGCAAAGGCCCTCCACCCCCAAAACAGGCACCCCTACGCCCAGCAGGTAGCCTCAAGAAGGTCCCTCCCCTTATTTGCATCGATGAACCCACCCGCCGCGCGGCCACTTTAAGGTCCCTCCCGGCCTCAGCGGAGAGGCGGGGCCACGGCGGCGACAGCCAATCAGCACGCGGCGTTTTCCGCGGGAATTCCGAATTTCGCGGCACGGGTTTTGGCGCTTAAAAAAAAACCGGAAAAAAAAAAAAAAAAAAAAAAGAACAAGAAAAAGAAAAGAAGCGCTCGGGGCCGGGCGCGATCGGGCGTGAGTGGAGCCGGGCATGGGGGTCCCGGCCCAGGCGGGGCCGCTCTCCGCCCGCCCCGGCCCCATACGGCCCCAGTGCGGCTGATTTTTGGGGCCAAAAGCGAATTTTCCGCCGGTTTCGGCGGCATCGCCGCTGCATTCGTCTCTGCGGGTTTTTCGGGGGCAATCTGGGGACCGGCCGGTGACATCGCCCGCCGGAACGCCTTCTCGCTCCCCCAAAATGCCACGGCTGAGATTGTGACCCCCCCCGCTCCCGGCTACGGAATCGCGGGGTGCTCCTGCCCCCTTCCCCGGGCCGGGCTTCTCAGAAAGGACTTTGCAATGCTGCGGGTCCCCAGGGGAGTGTCCCCCTCCCCGGGGAGAAGGGGTTCCGCCCTTCCGCCCCCCCCTCCCCACCGCCACCCGAGGAAGGTCATGTCAGTGATGGTCTCCTGTGATCCGGGGGCTCCCAGCCTGGGCAGCCCCCCGTTATCCGCAGGCTGTTTCACCCAGGTCTACACGCCAGCGGCTGTCAGCGCCCCCGCTTCGCGGGGCGGGTGCCTCTGTGACACCCCCCAAGGCCCCGAGCTCAGGACCCTCTGTTCGGCCTCGGCGGGACGGCTGCCGGTAAGATGTCTGCATCCCGTCTCTTTCTCGGGTGTTGCTTCAGGGGCACGGGAGGCTGGGGATGGTGCTGGGTGGGGAGCAAGGCGTGGGTGACCTCAGCATGTACAGCCCCCTCTCAAATTTTGCAGCATATATTGGAGTCTGCACCCTCTAATGTGTCTTTCTGGGAGTGGGGGAGGGTGAGGTCTGAAATCAGAAGTCGCAGTGAAATGGCTCAGATGTTTCTCAACTTCCCCTCGCCCCTGCGTGCCCGCGGCTCCAGCTTCCGCTTCTTGGCCTTTTTCGGCCTCATTTCCTTTCTCCAGCTTGCAAAAAGTCCGGGTTGTGCCTCAACACCCGGTCAGCAATCCCAGGCGCTTTGAGAAGCCCTTTCTATGGTGGGGAAATGAGGAATGGGTACAGGCAGAGCCCCTGCCTGCTCTGGGCGGGGGGCACCAGCCGTGCCCACTGGCTCTCCCCACTTTGGAGCTGTGACCCCCGGAGGTGACCCGGGCAGGTGGGGGGACACAGAACAGGGGTTGCTTTCTAACCTTGGTTTCTTCCCGTGGCTACAGTGGGGCTGGCAATGTCAGTTTTTTGGGAGGGGTCTCATCCTCCATGGATCACCCCAAGGCTTTATAGCTCAGACCCTGGTGCTGGGAGTTGGGTAGGGGGTTGTTGTCCCATGTCCCTGCCGCCAAGCCGCGGGGTCACGGTTGTGTTTATAAAGCCCAACACTAAGCTACAAAGCTACCCTAAACAGAGAAAGTGAGGCACAAGCCGGGTGCTGGCCCCGTGCCCATTGTCAGGGCACACAGGAGGCTCTGCCCAGCCTGTCCCTGCTCCCGGAGGGCCCCCTCTGAGTCGTCGGCCCCGCCAGCAGCTGGCATTTAATTCCTGCCTGCTCCAGCCTGGGCACACATCCAGCCCTCACTGTGAGCCTCTGTTTTCCTCAGTCCTGGGAGGGATCCCATACCCCACTAACACTGATTTAGTGTTCCCAAAGCTTGATTTATTTATTTATTCCTCTCCCGCCCCCTCCCCTTTTCTCAATCCCTGATGCTTGGTGCCAGCTGGGGACATTGCTGCAGCGGAGGGAGAGGGAGTGTCTTTGCATCCCCCTTTGTGCCATGGCTGGGGGGCTGGATGGGGCTGTTTCGAGTCCCATCCCAGGGGACTTTGGGACCACCTGTCTCCTCTCTGGCCTCTTTGTCTCCAAACTGTGTGATACATCCTGCATTGCCAAGGTCTGTTGTTTAAGAAGACACCATCATTTCTGCCCTCTCCCTTAAAAACACCCCACAGACTCCCAGTACCATTTCTGTGCATGTGGAGAGCTGCTTTTGGGCTAGTGGCCCCTTTGTCATCATCATCATCATCACCCACTCCAGTGCTCAGGGTACTTCTTCCTGCCACTGTCCCCTAAATGTGTCTGTGGAGTGGCCTGGGGGTCTTGTGTTACACTTGGGACATGAAGTGCTTGTCCTTGAGTGACATCTGGGATGAAGAGGTTTTGGGCTACCTGCCTCTTTGTCATCACTGCCATCATCACCCACACAAGGAGATGTTCTGTGTGCTGCTGCCCACAACCATCCCTTGAGCAGGGTCTGGGGGCTCATGTGACAACTGGGGACACCACACGCTCCTCTCTCCCCCCCCCCCCCCGCCCCCCCCCCCCCCCCCCCCGTGGCTTTGGAGAGGCATTCCCCCCTCTCCCCACTTCCTGCTGCCATTATCCCATTTGCCGTGCTGAAGATACTGTTTCCAGCCCCAGTATGGCGCTCAGAGCCCTGACAGCTGGGGTTCCTGCCGCACACACCCTGTTTATGGCACAACCTTTGTGTGCAGAGCCGAGGCAATCAGATACCAGCGTTTCCTCCCAGTTCCCAAGGAGGGCAATTGCAGCCGCTCCTAACGGCTATGTGCCACATGAGTGATCTGAAATCACATGGAGGAGCCTATCACCCCACGGGAAAGCAGGATGGGTTGTCTCTCACCGTCCGAAAAAGCCTTATGTTTACCATACTCTCCAATTTGAGGGTTCTGGAGTAATTAAATGTGTTTTCCTTCAGGGAAAAATGTGTATTTTGGAGTGGTTTTAGCCCATGCCAATCCCATCGTCAGTGTTTGCCCATGTCTGGTCTCTATAGGGGCTTAGGGCTATGCAAGAGCACTGGAGAGAGGGGTGCTTCTGCCGTGGGATCCCAGCTCCTGACCCTGAACAGGGACAAGAGTCCTCTGTGGTTCTGAACAAGCTGGCAGGGCTGAACCGTCTGTGCAAAGAGCACCTAAGACTGGCAGCCCTGTGGGTGCTGGGTTGTGGGAGAACCTGCTCAGCAGCACCCCAGATTCTACAGGGGTGACATAGTCCCATGCCACCTTGATCCCATCAAAGGGTTTTCTGCATAGGCAAAAGGGGGGATTTTTGGGGGAGGGATGGGTGGGGAAGTGGTGATTGTGCTGCTGCCCTTGGAGAGGATTCTTTGGCTATGGCTTTTAAAGCTCCTCTCTACCAGGAAAGATCTCCTAGGATGGGGCTGTTGGAGGGGATGCAGATGTTGGGTGCACCCTAGAGTAGGGAGCAGCACCTGGGCTGAGGGTACCGTCTGCTTCCCCAGTGCATGGTGGTCTCACTGTCTCCCAGATCTGGGATCAGCCTCCATTCCCCTGTCTGCCTCTCGTGCACTACTAGCCCTCAGCCACCCCAAGGCAGTGGGGGACCCACCTGTGGGGGCCTGACCCAGCAGCCCCTCAGCACAAGCAGCAGGATCCTGGAGTTGCCCTTGGCGCCCAGCCCCGGGCGCTGCGTTCCCACGCCCCCGGTGAAAGGGGGAACGGGGGGAGCCCCATGAAGGGCCGGGCAGAGCCCGGGCAAGCCCGGAGAAGGCAGCGGATGCTGCTGAAAGGGAAGGTTGGCAGGAGGAGCCCTCCGCGGGGGGGCTGAGGGATGCTCTGATGCTTGGGCTGGGCTCAGGGTGTAGCCCCTGGCGCCAGGGCTGGGCTCAGGGCTGCTTGGCAGGCAGAGCTGGCAGGGGGCCCAGCCTGCCCCCTCACTGCCTTATATACACCCGAAATTTTGGGGTCAAGCCTGATTTCCCACCCCACCACCATATTGCGTGTAGATGGTATGTTCCCACATCCTGGGGAGCCATGGCTGGGGGCTGGCAAGTGGTGTGGGGTGGTCCTGCCATGTCTTGGGGGGGAGTCTTCAGGTGTGGTCCCTGTTCCCCTACCTACTCTGGTTCATCTCTCCCCCCCCCTTCCCCCAGTGCTAGTAGGGTGCTGGGAGCCCCTCGCTGTGCCCCACTCAGCTGTTGCGTACCTAATCCTGCCCAGCTCGGGGGATGGCAGCTGGGTCGCAAGAGGGAGCCCCTTGTCCATTGTCCCTTGATGGTGGGTCCCAGAACTCAGGGTCCTGCCACTGTCTGAGCTCACCAAACCCCCAAAACTGCACCTGGGGAAGCAGGGGTCCCCTTTATCCCCTCCTACACATGGGGACGGGGGATTCGGGGTCTTTGGAGGTCTCTGGAAACACCAGGACCTGCTGTGGGTTGCCTCACTTTCCCCATGGCTTGGGGTAGGTGGGGTGCAGCTGATCTCCCCAACAGTGATGGGAACATACATTGGCCATGGCCATCCATGCTGGAGGAGCAAGGGATACCGGCGGGGGGGCAGGGTGCTGGCAGATGGATGGGGTCTTATCTGAGGCAGGTGTTTCCCATGTGCTCAGCATTAACTGTTGTGGTGCCGGCAGCTGCGGGGCAGATCTGGGGCCACGAGGCTGGGGTTGGAGGCAAGTTCACTGGGAAAAACCTGCTCAGGGAAGGGTGGGAGGGAACAGATTCCCACAGGAGCTTGGGACCAACCTGGCTCCCTGGGGGGGAGGAAAACAGCCCCTGGTGCCTCTCCCACCAGCCCCCTCGGGTGGGAACGAGGCTGAGGTGCCCAACCCTTCCCTGCACAGTGCATTGTGCTCTCAAGGGAGCCGCCGTCGGAGCCGGCACAGGGACCTGGGTGCCATGCGGGACGTACTGGGGGGGACCCTGTGGGACAGCCCAGCCTGGGAGCAGGTACTGCTGGAGGGTTGGGATGGGGCTGGGGGCTTCTTTTTGCTGCTGAGCCAAAGCATTCCCCTACAAATCACCCTGCGCATGTTTGTGGCTGTGAAGGGGTCTTGGGGGATTTGTTTGTATTGGTGGGGGGGGTTGGTGACACCCTCCAGTTCTCCTGTGGATTTACTCTGCTGTATTTTTCCCTGGGGCCCTTTGCCCAAGTGCTGCTGCTCAGGGTTCCTTGGGGGGGTTTCAAGGAGCTGCTTGCCGTGGTGAGGGGACAGCAGGTGCAGGGATGTTTGTCTCCCCTCCCAGAACCCAGCACATCTCCCTCACCCCAGTTTCCCTCCAGCTGCGTACATGTGTCCCGGGGGGGCTGAACCCAGCTGGTCCCAGGTGTGCTGGTGGCAGCTGGGTGCCCTCGGCTGCCTCAACCATGACCTGGTGGGAGGGGGGAAGTGAAATCCTGCACCCCAGTGGGCTGGGTGGGAGGGTGAGAATCTGGCTTTGGAGCTGCTGCATTCCCAGGGGTCAGCCCATGGAGCCCTGCCAGGAGCTGGGGGTGAGGGGGAATCCTGGTGGGTTCCCTGTGACTTGCCAGGGTGTGCAGGAATCATGGAAAGTGACGGGACCCCTCATCTCCTCCCTGTCCAGTTCTCCCAGTAGCCTCTCACCTCACTGTTAGGTGCTGCTGTGCCCCTTCCCAAAAGGAGTATTGCAACTGGATGAGCCTCTTGCAGGATTCCCTCACCCCAGGATGTGGCACCCGGGGCTTGGCTGATGGCCCTGGGGCAGTGTGGGGAAATCAGAGAAGTGTCTGGCTTGGCCACAATGCAGGGTTTTCTCTCATGCTCCAGGCCAAGAGGAAGCTGGACCTGGAGGGCCCTGAATTTCGCACGCCCAAGGGGAAGGGCTGGACACTGGCACAGGTCCCCAGCCCCAGGAGTAAGTGATGTGGGGTGAGATGGGGCAGGGGAAGCTGGGGGGAGCAGACCCCACTTCTCTTCCCTCTTAGAACCATGTCCCCTCTAGCACTACCTCATGTCACCTCCAGCCCATATGCCACACGAAGGAGAGGATGGGGGGGAGTCTCTCAAGTCCAGCCCAGTGATACCTCCATCCCACGGGCCTGGCCAAGGACAGGATGGGGAGATCTCTTGTCTCCAACCCTATATCTGATCCCAGATCTGACACTAAAGAAAGGAAAACGTGGCCTCTCATGTCTAGCCCCATGTCACATCCCAAATTAAGGAGAGGATGGGGGATCTCTTGTTTCCCCACAGCCCCCAAGTCTCCCGGGGAGAAGACTCGCTATGACACCTCACTGGGGCTGCTCACCAAAAAATTCATCCATTTGCTGAACGAGTCTCCCGACGGTGTTGTGGATCTGAACCGGGCTGCCGAGGTGCTGGAGGTCCAGAAGCGTCGCATCTACGACATCACCAACGTACTGGAGGGCATCCAGCTCATCCGTAAGAAATCCAAGAACCACATCCAGTGGATGTAAGTGATGGGACACAGGGATGGGGCAGGGTGGGGGACACGTGGCTTGGGGACACACGTAGGGTGTGCTGTGCCATCACTCAGATGCCATCTCCGTTGGCAGGGGGACAGGGATCTTTGAGGATGCAGCAATGGTGGCGAAGCAACAAGTGCTGCATGAGGAACTGGCCGAACTGGCTAGGACAGAGAGGATGCTGGACCAGCTCGTGCAGGACTGTGCCCTGCAGATCCAGCAGCTGGCTGACAATGAGTCCAACCAAAGATATCCTTGCTGAGGGAGATGGGAGGGAGGGCAGGGTCTTGGGCATCTCTCTGAGCCCCTTCTCCTCAAGCTGTATTCCCCTGGGCTTGGGGGGTGTTTGGAGGGATGCAGTGGTTATGTCCTGCTTGCAGCCCCTCCTTTTCCTATACCTCGTCTCTGTCCACGCTGGCATATGTCACCTACCAGGACCTCCGTGCCATCAGCAGCTTCCAGGAGCAGACAGTGATTGCCGTGAAGGCTCCCCCTGAGACGCAGCTGGAGGTGCCAGACTTCAGCCAGGTGTGTGTGGGTGCTGCTGGATCCGTGACGCTCGATGGGTCCCTCTGGGGTATCCCAAAGACACAGCCTAGCATGACCCTGGGTGGTTTTGGGGTGTCTCCATGGGGCTGTTTGACCCTGAGCTGGTCCTTCAAGGGTTGCGATGCCCCAGTTGGATCCCTCATGGGTTGGGGCTAGTGGAGTTGGATATGGGTGACCTTCTGGGTGCCCCTCCTGAGCCTTATTCTGCCCTCCCAGGAGAACTTCCAGCTCTACTTGAAGAGTACGAATGGCCCCATCGAGGTGTACCTCTGCCCAGAGGAGATCGTGGAGGAAAGCCCCACCAAGGACCACCCTGTCCCCTCTGCTGTCACTTCCCCACAGGAACACTCGGTACCCCTTTGCCTGACAAACAGCTCCCCATCAGCCACACAGCCACTCCACCCCATCTCCCAGAACTGGGGCAGCACAGGAACTCCTCTCTCACCCCCATCTCTGCCTCTCCCCATCCAGGGGGGACCCAGCTCACTGCTGGAGATGGAGCCTGGGCTCCTGGGCTCCCCTGCCCACCTTCTGCAGCAGACAGAAGACCAGCTGCCGTGCACCCCCTCCCGCCTGGACCTGGGACCCTTCGTAGCTTTCTCGCCCCCCCTGGAACAGGATGACTATCTCTGGGGGCTTGAGGGCGAGGGTGTCACTGACCTCTTTGAGACATATGACCTGGGAGACCTGCTGAAGCACTGAGTGTCCTCCAGTCCCCATTGCCTTTGTTCCCTCTGGCCACTTGTGTCCTGAGCATGTGGAATCTCTGTGGGGTGACTGGAGAGATTGGGGTATGTTGGGGAGTACTGGGTTTTCTGAGGATTAGGGGGAGAGGGGACCTTGTGTTGCTCACCCAGTGTGGCTTCTCTGCACTTTCCTGGGTTGGTTGTCACCTCACTGGGCTCTGAGAGTGCCTTGTGATCCATCCAGGACCCATTCCAGCATCCCCCAATAAATCCATGGGGCACCGATGCTTCCCACCATAACCTCCCACCACCCTGGGCATGGGAGGACTGGGCTGGTGGACTGGGAGTGCCTTTGGGTGCCCACATGGGTTAGGGGCGCCCTTGGGTGGCAGAGAAACTTCTGCCCAGAATGGGCTGTGTCATGGTTTGGGGTCACTCCAGTTGCTCCTCAGTTAAACTGGTTCTTCACAGTCACAACAGGTCATTTCCAGTGGCATTTTCCCCACTACGGCTGGAATAGCCTTAAAAAACCATTGAGGCAGCAAAGCTGAAGTCATCTTTGGGTGAGGGAAGGATGAAGATCTGACAAATTTCTGGCCACATTTGGATCCATATTCCCTGAAGGGCTGCAGTGCACAGCAGCTCCCTCCAGCCTCTTGGAGTTGCTGGTGCTGGCAGTATCAAAACTGGAATGTACTGGGAAGAGGTATGCCTGGGGGAGGCGATGACCTCCAGAGTGGGGCTTGGGAAACAGCTTGGGACAAGCCCTGGGACATGGGGTAGGATAGGGCTTTTTACTGTAGCATTCTTTGCTAAATATCTGTAATTATTGCACTGTATTTATCCGGGTTCCCCCTTTGGTCTGGGGCTGGGAGGGGTTGGATTTGTCAGTGGGTCTATTTAAGTTGTCCTTCCTTGGGTTGTTGATGCTCCTGTAGGTTGGCTCAAGAGATGGTGTGGGTGAGAATATGTTTTGGCCTGGATAAACTGGTGGTACTTGATGTTTTCTGCCCAGGAGGGGTTGAAATAAAATAAAATTTTGATTTTATAAAGGGCTGTTTTCCTCTAAGCAGCAAAATGTTGGAATGGTTTGGCTGGAGAGAGGAGCTGAGCTGGTTTTGCTCCTGTTTCAATGGCCTGGTTTGGGGCTTTTTAACTGGCCAGCCTGCTCTGTAGGCACTTGTGGAGAAGGGGTTGGAGATGAAGCTTTGACTGGAGTGAGGAAAATGAGTCTGACCTGCTCAGATTGGTGATTTCCAGCCCAAATCTGGCTGGGATGAGCTTTTGCCTGAGCTAGAGCCCCTCCAACCAGGAGTGTGGGAAAAGCCCCACCAGGGCTGGGGGTCAGCTCCCTATGGATCTTGGGGCTGGGTGGGCTTGTGCACCCTGATTTGGGGTCTGCAGCGCAAGATCCTGGGGGAGCTGTGTCCATGTGAGGTCCTTCCCCATGTGTCTCCTGTGACCTGGGGATGCCACCAGTGCTGGTGGCAAAGTGATGGTCAGTGGTACCAGGTGATGTCCTGCGGCATCTGGTGGTACCCGAGTGATCTCTGGTGGTACCCAGTGATGGCTGATGGTACCTGGTGATGTCCCGTACCCGGGATCGTGGCACGTGTTGGCGTTGCATAGTCTGGTGGTGTGGAGGAGGAGGAGGAGGAGGAGGAGGAGGAGGAGGAGGAGGAGGACAGCCCCGGGCCAGGTGAGCAGGGCGAGGGGCACAGAGGCCACATCCCCCGTGGAGATGAGTGTCCCACTGCACGAAAGGGGATCCATCCCCCTGCGCGGTTTGCCCCCGGCCGCGCAGTCCCCAGGCCAGCCAGGAGGTGGCAGGGCCACACCGGCCAAGGGACCGCAGGTACCCCGGGGGCAGCGGGGGGATCGGGGGCTGCCTGTCTGCTCAGAGGCTCTTACCCCAAATCCCTGCTGCTCCAGTCCTGCCTGGGCTGCAGCCTTTTAACCCTCTGCCTGCCAGAGCTCTGCCGAGGGAGATGTCCTGGGAGTTCGGCAGATGTTGGTTGCTCCCGAACGGGGGAGGACACCCCCAAACCGTGGGCTCGCCTACTGCCGGTGCCAGAGAGGTGGAATCTTTCAAGCGTAGCTGTTCACCCAAGGCTTGTGATGGCTCTTCCTGTACCCCAGTCCCTCTCAGCTCCTTTATGGGGAGCTAAGCCTGTAGAAATGAGCAAAGGCTTCTTTAAAGCTCCAAGTGCCCCCCCCCCCCCCCCCCAGGGCCTCAGTAACAGTGTGTTAGAGGAGGACTTGGGCTGGCCCTGGTTAGGCACGTACCTGTTTTACTGAGCCCCACTCCTAGCTCAGTAAAAGGGTTGAGGGTCTGATTCATCATGGGTGAGCAGTGCAAGGGGCAGTGCAAGGGGAAGGGTCTGCAAAGCCCCCTTGCACCCATGCTTGCCTCTCTCATGGCAAACCAGTCACAGTGAGGCTTTTTGCCCCTTTCTGTTCCAGTTTGACACCAACCCCAGTCCTGCAGTGGGATTTGCTCAGTGTCTGTTCAACCTAATTGCCTGCACCTGAGGTGCCCTGGCTTCTCCATCCTCCATGAAGATCAAATAAACAGGAATGGGACACCAAATTCGATTGAGAGGTGGGACAAATGAGGGGACGAGAGAGGGAGCAAAGAGATCGCCTCCAGCGGGACAAAAAGCCAAAGGCTCCAGTAGTTATCCCCTGTCCAAGGATTGTACCCTCACGGTCCTAGGAAGGGCAGGGTGGAAGTGACCTCCAGTTAAACCGGTGCTTGGAGCAGACTGGGCATAGTCCTAAACCATCACTGTGTGTGTCTCTATCTTCTCCCAAGATGGGGAGAGGTGGTTGCTGGGGTGCCTGGGAGAAGTGAGTACTGGAGTGCTGGGGTGAGGTGGGTTCCGGGCGGAAATGGGTGCTGGGGTCCCTGGGTGCTTGGGTTAGGTGGCTGCTGGGTGCCTCGGAAAGGGGGGTGTTGGCGTTAGGGGGATGCTGGTGCCTGGGAAAGGCGGGTGCCGAGGCAAGGCTGGGGGTGCAGACCCAGAAGAAAAACCGCAGGGTTTTCTCTTCGTGCCACCAGAGCACGGGGGAAGCCCGCACCCCCCGTGTCCCGGAACGGGGGTCACTGGAGCAGTTCCTGGGGAGCACCGCGGCTCTTCGCCTTTAACGTGCGGACGGGCGGGGCCGCCGCGTGACGGCGGAGGGCGGGAGCGGGCGGAGGGAGGCGCGGTGCGGGGCTCGCGGTGCGGGGCTGCCGGCGCGGTGCGGAGCGCTGAGCCGGGCTGAGCCGGCACCCTGGGGCGCTCCGCAGGGGAGGCGCTCCCCGCCGCCCCCGCTGCCGCCCAGTGCCCCCGGTGCCCTCCGCACCATGCCCGAGCAGCTCAGCGTGGCCGACTTCTTGGCCGTTGCCAGCGAGGACCTCGGTTCCCCGGCCGCCGCCTTTGCCTCCAAGATGCAGAAGTGCCGGGGGACCGTGGGGGCTCTGGAGGAGGTGAGCGAGGCCGGGGGGTGTGGTCGGGGGGGTCAGACTGCGCATCCCGCCTGGGAACACCTCCGCACCAATAGGTGCTAGTCCCTTGATGCTTGCGCCTCCCTCGGGCTTCTGTTTTTCAGAGCCCACCCTTTCATCCCGAGACTACGCTGGTCATCCTGAACGGGTGGTTTGGGACCCTCGGATGGGGGGGCCGTTTGTATCTCCCGAGCAGCCCCATCGTACTTTTATGGGGAGCTAAGCCTGTAGAAATGAGCAAAGGCTTCTTTAAAGCTCCAATGCCCCCCCGGGGCCAGGACATATCCCCTATCACCCCGAGGCCAGGGTGGCCTGTTTCCTTATTTTAGGGCCAGAGCATTCCCACCTGCCCCTCCCGGGGATCAAGGCATCCCTCCTGGGGCCAGGGCATCCTTCTTTCCCACCGGGACCAGCGCATGCCCCCAGGGAATCAGCCCCACATTTCTATCCACTATCGAGCTCCTGTACTGGAGCCAGCCCCGATAGGATGTGGTGTCGCTGGGGGGGTCTCTTCCTTGTGGAGTATTTTCAATCTCCCCCAAAGTCATCGGCAGCCTTTTTGGGAAGGGTGAAGGTGGTGGGTTGCCTTCATCCTCCTCCCGCCTGGAATAAAGGCAGTTTCCAGCTGGTCCTGTGGCTTTTGCCAACGCCTCTTAGCTAAGGAATGACTTTGAAGGAGAGCCAGAGCTGGCAGGGAGTGGGGGGCTCCTGGTGCAAGGGCTGCTGGGATACCTGGGGGCAGTGGGATGGGTGTCCCACACCTGGCAATCTGGGAACACACCATGTAGCATCTTGGTCTCCATCAGCACATGCTGGTCACTGTCATGGATCCTCTTCCCAGTGGGGAAGGAGGAGGTGGCTCTAGCCAGGAGGGAACAGCAGGAATTTTGTTTGGCTGCTTGGAGAGGCTGTGGTTAAGGGATGAAGGGATGGGGAGAGATGCGTCCCTCAGGAATGACTGGGGGTCTCTGGGATTGGCTTAGTAAAGCTCCAGCAAGTATGAGAGATAGCTGGGAATCGTGACTGCTGTGCCATATGTGCCATGGAGGGCACAGGGCTGAACCCTCCATGCCACTGGAGGCTCTGGGGAAGAAGCCAACCTGCTGCTAGACCTTTGGCATCCCCCTGGTCCTAGCATGAGGGGAGAAGGGAAATCTGAGCAAACCAGCTCCCTGCTATCTTTGGAGCTGCAACATGGTGATAGCATGAGGCAAGGGGGATAATCAGTGGCAGATTTGGGGATCACTGGGGGAGGGGAGAGACGCTCTGTGACCAAACTGAGCCATAATCCATCCTGTCACCACCCCAAATACTGGCAGGTGGCTTGGTGAGCAGGAGGGAGTGAAGGATGCTGGTTGAACTCCAGTGACTGCTGGGTGGGAAGGGATGGCTACATCCAACCAGGACCCTGGGACAAAGCATGGCCACATGCACCCAAGATAGGAGCTGATCTCAATCGGGGGCAGGAGTGAGCAGGGAGAGGACTGGAGATTGCTGCTTAACACTAAGGAGACATCCTGATATTG